TTAATAATTAATTCATTCAGAAAAAAATCTAGATTGAAGATTGTGCCAATTTTTAAATATTTTTCAATATTTTGTGCCCCAATTTTGACTATAGATTTATTTTCAGCGGTAAAAGAAACAATCCAGACAACTCTTTTTTGTAGACCTGTGTAAATTTCAATCATAAAATTCGTAAAAAATCATCACCTATCAGAGCCGAGTAAAACATGACAAAGCTGCATACGCGTTGCTACTTTCCGCATTAAAAAATTAAAATAAAGAACAAAATCAGCTTATATAAAAAAAAAGCAGTACCAATTTTCTTATTAAAGTTTTCAAGTAAAATTGTTTTTCTTTTAAACATTATTTGTCTTCATTTTGTATTAATATTTATAAACACTTATAATATACACTTGTAATTATATAAAATATATACTTCGTTCAATTTTATATTTTTGTTCTTTTCTTGTGGCAATTTTGTAATTTTGTTGCAATTACATTATTCCCGCGCTCAGTCAATAAATCTTTCGACTTAATTTTAGATCAGACTTTTATCAGTGTTTATGAGAAAGCTTCAATTTTATTAAAAAATGCAATTTATTTTTATCATGGCTTGCACGGCCGTAACATTTTTTCAAAATTTTGTTCTTTATTTTAATTTTTTTATGCGAAATGGAAAACTACATACAACTCCAAATTATTTTATAATGAACATTTTAGTAGTCATTTTTTGTATAGCTCGGTAATCGATCAACTAACTATTATCGCCTTTTTTGTGAACGTTTTTCATTGAAATTCGATCAAGATTTTTCTGAGCTTATAAAAAAGCTTAAACTTATCCATTTCAAAAATGGCAACGAAATGGTTACCTCCGATAAAACTAACTGATTTGCAGGCTTATCCTATTGTACAAATATTTCTCGATGCGCATAAGAAGTACAAGTTTTTGAATGTCTCACAAAAGGAGCTATTTCAGCGAAAAAAATTAGAAATTTAATTTTAAAATCAGGAGATAAAACTGTTTTTGAGAAAAAACTGGAATTTTTTCAGAGTATAACATAATTATAATATGAATGTTAGTATTTTAGCGTTGCAGTGGGTAAATTATCAATGTAATAACATTTGTACATTCAGAATTGGTATTCTGAATGTATAAATATTTGAAGAAGTCATTTCTTATACTAATGATTTTCTAAAAATATTTTCTGTAGCTAAACGTTTGCCGGGTCAGCTAATATATTTATAAATTACGTGCGGCCCGCCAAAAAATTTGAAAATGTAAATTGGCCCGCGGGCTAAAAAGGTTGCTCGCCCTTGCCTTAAATTATTGCATTGTTCATGAATCCATCTTATCCTATCTCCTTAAATAAAATTTTGAAAGTGTCATTCTTTGGGTGTCAAAAGTACTCCTGCGCCTTGTTCGTACATTTTGCAGCAATTTGCAGTTACCCCCAAGACACCTATTCAGTATAATAGCATGTTGTCATATCATATTTGATTATATATAATTATTGCTGCATTTATTATAAAAAAAATACCTTTGCGAGAAAACTGGTATTGGTATTTTATAGTAGTATAGTAGTATTTTATATATATATATATATATATATATATATATATATATATATATATATATATATATATTTGTGTAAATATATATTATATATATTTGTGTGTAAAAATTTGTGTGTAAAAAGATGCTTTCAATTTGGATGCAGAGGGCGAATAATCTTTTAATGGATCACCTAACTCTTCGGTTTGTGGCACAAATCAACGATAATTTGAAATCAAAACCAAATAGAAGTGTCTCCTTTACGGCAATAACAGAATAGTTTTCAAGTTACTAGAGATTGCTCTGATACAGAACCAGAAGAACAATCTGCAACTCCAAGGACAAAGCCAAGTAATTATAACTCTAAATACTTCAATAACATTTGCAAAAAAATATTAATAAATGAATCTTATGTTCTTAGGAGATGGAAGCCTAAACACCTTGAAAAAGATTTTTGCAGCACCCCTAAGATTGTCAAGTGCACGTTAAAAGTCACCTATTCTGACACCAGTTTTCCGAAAAGGTATTTTTTCATACTAATTGCAGCAAAAATATTTAATATGATAATTACAATATCTTCAATTAATATGATATAACAATATATTCAATAGAAGTCCTTGATGGTAGCTGCAAATTGCCGCAGAATGCAATGATAAGGCATAGGAGTGCCTTAACACCCAGAAGATGTATGATACATCAAATTTTGTTTCGGGATTAAAATGCAATGCAATAATTTAAAGGATAAATTCCAACAGAGTATACAATGTCCTGAGAAGTTTTCAAATATTCCAAAAACTTAAAATGTAAGGGCAAAAATTTTGATATTGTCTCAATTAAGAGAGCATACTCAAAGACCAGACAGTTTATAAAGCGCAAGGGTTTAGTTATAGTTTTAACTAAACCTCCTTGCAATAAAAGCTGGATTAAAACGATAGATAGGTTTAAGCTACAATTGGTATAAATTAAAAGTAGTTCAGGGTTTTGGTTACTTATACAGAAACACTTATACAGAATCTATTCAAAGATTTCATCAAATATGACTTTATTAATGATTGATTAGATAGCAAAATAACTATTAAATGGAGGGATAACAAACAAGAATGTCTCGTAAATGAATTTTAATCCTAGGAATTTAGTTTTATCTCAATTTTGATATCAATTTATATATATTTTGTTTTTAGGATTATTTTGTTTGGAAGGTATTCATTCTTTTTTAAAAATGTGCTGTTCTTTTTATCCTTTTAAATTATTGCATTACTTGTCATTCCTTCTAAATTTGTCATTCCATCATTAATACTCCTGCGCTTTTTACTTCTTAGTTTTCAAGTTTTTAATATATTATTATTAGTCATTAAGTAATTAATATGAATAAGTTATTTCTCTTCAACTTGTAGTACTTTAAAAATATGTCTGTATAATACTTTAATTAATAGTAGTCAGTTATTTCTGTTTAGTTTATAATTCTTTAAAAATATGTCTGTGATATATTTGAAAATATATTTTGTATTTCGTATGTTTTGTTCTTATTTCAAATGATTAATTTTTTTCATATTTTTGAGCTGTATTGATTATATGTACAAATGTAGAAGTAATACCAGGGGTTAATTTACATACTGTATGTACATGTGCTGCCATGTAGTGATCTTTTCGTAAATTAAAATGAGTGTAACGTCAAATCGCCCGAGATAGCGATCTATTTATGCTTATTTATCTATGAACAAAACAGTGCAACGCGCGTTTGTTCGGAGATAACACCATAGATAAATAAGCATAAATAGATCGCTATCTCGGGCCATTTGACGTTACACTCATTTTAATTTACGAATAGATCACTACATGGCAGCACATGTACATACAGTATGTAAATTAACCCCTGGTATTACTTCTACATTTGTACATAAAATCAATACAGCCCAAAAATCTGAAAAAAAATATTTGAAATAAGAACAAAACATACGAAATACAAAATATATTTTCAAATATATCACAGACATATTTTTGAAGAATTATAAACTAAACAGAAATAACTGACTACTATTAATTAAAGTATATTACAGACATATTTTTAAAGTACTTATTTTATTAATATTCTAGAAATAACTTATTCATATTAATTACTTAATGACTAATAATAATATATTAAAAACTTAAAAACTAAGAAGTAAAAAGTGCAGGAGTATTGATGATGTAATGACAAATTTAGAAGGAATGACAAGTAATGCAATAATTTAAAAGGATAAAAAGAACAGCACATTTTTAAAAAAGAATGAATACTTTCCTAACAAAATAATCCTAAAAACAAAATATATATATATTGATATCCAAATTGAGATAAAACTAAATTCCTAGGATTAAAATTCATTTACGAGACATTCTTGTTTATTATCTCTCCATTTAATAGTTATTTTGCTATCTAATCAATCATTAACAAAGTTATATTTGACGAAATCTTTGAATAGTTTCTGTATAAGTGTTTTTAAACGTAAGTATCCAAAACCCTGAACTACTTTTAATTTATACCAATTGTAGCTCAAATCTATCTATCGTTTTAATCCAGTTTTTATTGCAAGGAGGTTTAGTTAAAACTATAACTAAACCCTTGCGCTTTATAAACTGTCTGGTCTTTGAGTATGCTCTCTTAATTGAGACATTATCAAAATTCTTGCCCTTACATTTTAAGTTTCCGGAATATTTGAAAACTTCTCAGAACATTGTATACTCTGTTGGAATTTATTCTTTAAATTATTGCATTGCATTTTAATCCCGAAACAAAATTTGATGTATCATACATCTTCTGGGTGTTAAGGCACTCCTACGCCTTATCATTGCATTCTGCGGCAATTTACAGCTATCATCAAGGACTTCTATTGAATATATTGTTATATCATATTAATTGAAGATATTGTAATTATCATATTAAATATTTTTGCTGCAATTAGTATGAAAAAATACCTTTTCGGAAAACTGGTGTCAGAATAGGTGACTTTTAACCTGCACTTCACAATCTTAGAGGTGCTGCAAAAATCTTTTTCAAGTTGTTTAGGCTTCCATCTCCTAAGAACATAAGATCCCTTAAAAGATTATTCGCCCTCTGCATCCAAATTGAAAGCATCTTTTTACACACAAATTTTTACACACAAATATATATATATAATATATATTTACACAAATATATATATATATATATATAACATTTTAATAGTATTGTGATGATACATATTCATTATATGCATAATACATCATTATATACATACCTGATAATTAGATGCCGGAAAGACATGCATTTTTTTATTATATTTGGGGTTATAACAATTTGGCACATAACACTTTATCATTTTAACTTAATAATAAATGAAAAAAGTATTCACCAAAACATAATTATATAAAACAATCACAGAAAATCTCAACTACAATACGCGATGACAACTTGACAACTTATAGAAAATGGCCGATCAAATCAATGTAGAGATCAAGCCGCTGCTAGATCAATGAAATTGGAAAACCACAAACAATCTTTGTATAGGTGCTCTGATACCAAGTTACCATGCTTTGTTAAAAGGCTCAAAGCAGCTTATGATGAAAGGAAGTTGATTTTTATCATTAATATAAATACATATAAAATAATCAGTTGTTAAGCAGTATAACTTATGGAAATACTTCACCTCTAAAAGCCGGTCGAAATTTTACATCACCGGGATATGACATAGTTTTTATCATATTATATAATCTCAAACATTCTTCTGTATCTATTTCAGGGTCTGGTGCAAATGTGCAAAACATATTTTCAAAAGCTGTTAATATGCCATGAATTATACGTAATTTGGTCTAAAATAGAATCTACATTAAATAAGTTAGAAAAATTTCTTATGGTTTTTATTATAATCTGTTTTGGTTTAATCTTTATCTTGATTTTTGTATCTTACCACAGCAGTAGTTGAACAAGTATAAAACATATTTATTATCATTATAGTAACTCACATTTACAAGATTTTTTGTTTGCGTTTCAAATTGTGAATAAAGTAGCACCTGGACTCTAAAAACATGATCTCGCATTTCACATGGAAAATCTCTGGCCAATATACCAAGTAAAGGAAATAATTGTTCATACACTGTAGAAAATATGTAATTTCAGTGTATTTTTGAAATAAAATTTTTATTATGATAAATTTAGAATAGTAATGATGTGAATCAATTATCATATTAATTATATAATAATTTGTATATAAAATATCATTAGTAAAGTGATAAAATTTGTATTTCTATTTACAAAATAAAACTAATAAAAATTAAATTAAAAATAAAAGTTACCTAAACTAGATAACTTTCCATATTCCAAATGATGGACTACTTGTGCAATAACATAATTAATATCCAATAAATCCACTATTTCCTTATTATTCACAATAGCAACCAATATTTGAAGAGCAATAGATTTTTCTTTTACCATCTTAACAGTATATAAAGTTTTCATTGAAATCTGTAATTGAGTTAATATTATTAATTATGCAATTTTAATTATTTACCACATGATAAAATTATTTTATTCAATAAAACTTATTATATGATTAAAATGCAAAGGAAATTTCTCTCATTTCTCAAAAAAAACATTAAATTTAACTGATTTTATATCAATAAATATCAATTGATCAATATGTTCAGAAAGTTATTTTCAATAAATAATGCAAAAATAGCAGTTTGGTATGACAAAACCTTTTATATTTCTTTAATATGTTTTCTAATTTTAATGGGAAGCTCTTCTACCAACAAAAGAAGTAGATCTAATGACAACTTTATACTTTCTTGCAAATAAGCTTCAGATATATGTTGTTTGATTAATGGTATAATGCCATCGTCTTCATTAAATATAATGGACAAGGCAAAATCTAAAAAAATGAAAAATTAGTATCAAAGTTGCAACAATTTAAAGACAAAAGCATTCTTACCTATTTTATATGAAGTAACTTCTGCTTTAAAAAATCTTAATATATTTGAGATGCACAATTTTGCTTTTGTGCCCTGTTTTGTCTGTATACATAATTTTAAATCTTTAAATGCGTCTTCAACTATTGAGGCCATATTTCTTTTTTATACTAAAATATTAAAATACGTATAATTAATTATTATTATTCTGAAATAAGTTGCTTAATAAAAATTGACAATGATTTATAACCTGTTGATAATATTTTATGAAACTTTGCACAGTACATTAGCACAAATTTGTGTTATTGCCTAAAATTTACATAAAACTATTACCAAACACTTGCACACTAATTCTTTTTTATTAGTGTCACAAATTTTATACATTTCACATTTATATGTCGGTTCTAATAATTCTGTAAGCTGTTTATTTATCTATGTCTGTAACCGTCAAATGTGACAACCCGATAAGAATCATTATTATGTTACTACTACTGCTTCGAAATATCAAAATCAGCAGTGACATCTAAAGAGATGGAAGTGTTTTCCGTTGCCATAAACTTTTTCGAATTTTTATTGTTGATCAACCTTTTAAAGTGAGTTGTGTCTAGTGTTACAAAAATAACAAAATCTGTAAGTAACCATTGTAAAATATTTTACTTAATATATAAAAGTATATAGAGACAGTAAAAACCGTTTAAGACGATTTTTTAGGAAGCCCGCCAAAAAGGCATCTTAATTTTATTATGCTCTTATTTTGGGTTATGTAGGTATTAAATTATATGTTTGTAATTACATTAATTACTAACATTAAATACTTACAGTAATTTTAATTACGTTTATGGTATTCTACAAATGCGTTTGACAACTGACCATCAGAAACAGGTCCGGTCAGTCAGTTTCTCTTCTTTTGCTTACTTCACGACAATCACAAGTTCATTCAACGATTCAAAGTTTGATTAACCTGCCATCAACTTACAATAAGTTAACTTATAACTTACAACCAGTTTTTTATCACTTAAAAAATAAAGAATTAAATATTATGAGTAATATTGCAACAATTCAGGAAGTGTTACCATCCATGTATGGCACAACATTTTGTGTATGCTATTGTTTGAAGTGTTTTGAAGGTGCACAATGCCGTTGCTATTTTAAAACAATCTATCTAGCCGTTTGCAACGATGATTAGCCTCATATCAAGCTATTATCTATAAGTCAATCATTTTACGCGTTTTCTCTCAAAGTGTTTAATACCTTAGAGCCGACTACACCTTCATTTTTCTCTGGTCTCGAAATCCCACGGAAGTGATCAGGTATTCATTTGTGGGGCCGATTTTTCTTTACTACTAATTGGCGTTATGCACTTTTATTCTTATTTCCATGGAACGCAAGTTTGTGAAAACTTTTATTACAAATGCGCGTATTTAATTTTCTGATTCAATAGTAATTTAACATTATCACATATTGTATTAAAATGAGGCACCCAACGAGAATTCTGAATTATGTGATCCTAATATGTGTATCAGGATCTTAACTCTCAAGTGTTGCAAATATTTTTATATTATCAGGGAAAACTTTCAAAATGTATATAAACACACACACATATATATATATATATATATATATATATATATATATATATATATTGCAGAAAATAGAACTCGAGTTTTTGAGAGAACGAATCATACGATTTGTATGATCCGAAAAACATTCGTTAAAAAATGGCTGTTTTTGAGAGAACTAATCATCCGAATTAATTAATTCAAAGAACTTTCAGCTTGTTCCAACAAAATAATTGCTTTTGGAAAAAGAAATTTTGCTTCTAATTTTTTGTTTCAAAAAATATTTTTGTAATTTCGGATTAAAAATTAAAAAAATTACCCAGGCTAAGCACAGTCTAAGCGCCAATCTGGTATTTTTCAATTTTGTGAAAACTACTGAAAAATGTGAAAATGCCGCCAAGCTAAGCACAGTATAAGTGAAAATGTCGCAAAGAATTATTTGCAAATTTTTTAATTAATTTTATTTTGCAAAGTTTAGACTGTGACAATACGGGACGGGACTTCACTTTTTCAATTTTGTGTAAATTAGGCAAATTTTTTTTGAAATTGAATTCGAATGAAATGACGATTGGTAATGTTCTGGAGATAAATTGATTTATGATTTATATTTGATTTGCTCAGATATAACAAGATAGCAAAAATTAAAACAGTATTTGTAATAATGTATTTGAAAACGTTTAAAATTTCTCGAATATTTCATTACGGTACGGGAAGTTCCAGCAATTTGCCTTAAGGCACGATGCCATATACTTATATCAATTATATTTAATATCAACTATTGTTATCTATGTAATATGTTGTTTTAGATTACTGAATGATGACATACATTAAGTGTCGAAACGTTTAATAGAATTTTTCTATTTTAACCTTTTTTAATTTGACGATTTGGCTGCAAAATATTTCAAATATATATATATATATATATATATATATATATATATATATATTTACATTTACTAGTGTTATTAAAATTCAAACAATTTCCGTGTGTCAAACTGCTTATATTTTTAACTACTCTTGATCATTAAAATTTTGTGCTCAAGCGCATGCTCATAAATAGAAATATTAATATGAAATAAATAATTTTGGTTTCGTTAATAAATAAATTATAATTGATCCCAAGTTATAGACAATTTTATTTATATCATATATGAATATGTGATATATATTTATCTTATACGAGGTGTGTTCAAAAAGTACCCGGAATTTTTAAATTTCGCGGGTCTGGAGTGTCTGATTGTCAAAATTTTTTTTTTATTGTGTTGGTATACATGCCCCTAAAGTATGATGAAATTTTCAGCTATATTCACTGTTTACTTTGTCTGTGGTAGTCGCTAAGGTTCGACGTGTTTTTCTGAGCTCGGCGATTTTTACAATGGAAGAATTGAAAAGTCAAAGAATTTGTATTAAATTTTGCGTAAAAAATGAAATAAAGTGTAACAAAGTGTGTGAAATGTTACAAAAAGCCTATGGTGAGTCTGCTATAAAAAAAACAAGTGTTTACGAGTGGTATAAGCGTTTCCAAGATGGCCGCGAAGACGTTGAAGATGACGAACGCTCCGGTCGACCCAGCACGTCAACAAACGATGAAAATGTGAAAGAAGTGGAAAAAATGGTTATGAATGATCGCCGAATCACAATTAGAGAAGTTGCTGATGAAGTTGGCATATCAATTGGCTCATGTCATAACATTTTTTCAAATGTTTTGGGCATGAAACGAGTGGCAGCAAAATTCATTCCAAAACTGCTAAATTTTGACCAAAAAAGCAATCGCATGAACATCGCTCAAGAGCTGTTAAATGACGTCAACAACGATCCAAGTTTGCTTGAAAGGGTCATAACTGGTGATGAAACATGGGTGTACGGTTATGATGTCGAAACCAAAGCCCAATCGTCCCAATGGAAGAGCCCAGGTGAGCCAAGACCGAAAAAAGCACGTCAAGTTCGATCGAATGTCAAGGTTTTGCTTACTGTTTTCTTTGATTATAACGGCATAGTGCATCAAGAGTTCTTACCACAAGGTCGTACGGTTAATAAGGAGTATTACCTTGAAGTGATGCGACGTTTGCGTGAAGCAATCCGAAAAAAACGCTCCGATTTATGGAAAAACAATTCATGGCTGTTGCACCACGATAACGCACCTGCTCACTCGTCGTTGCTTGTTCGTAATTTTTTGGCCAAAAACAATACCGTAGTCATGCCCCAACCTCCATATTCACCAGATATGGCTCCGTGTGACTTTTTCCTATTCCCAAAGTTGAAGAGACCCATGAAAGGACGGCGGTTTTCCTCGATTGAAGAAATAAAGGCCGAATCGCTGAGAGTGCTCAAGGACATATCAAAAAGTGAATATCAAGGGTGCTTCGAAAATTGGAAAAAACGCTGGCATAAGTGTATTATATCTGGGGGGGACTACTTTGAAGGGGACCACATTGATGTAGACGAATAAATAAATATTTTTTTGAAAAAACGAAAATTCTGGGTACTTTTTGAACAGACCTCGTATATAAAAATGGAGCTCTCTTTCAAATGTCCGAATAAAACTCGAAAACGGCTGAATCGATTTGGCCAGTCTTAGTCTTGAAAAATTCGTGCCAATCCAGAGAAGGTCCAAAAGGTGAGAAATTCTTTATAAGAAGTAATATTAAACTGATTTGATCAAAATGTGTGACTTCAATAATTATGTATGTTGATTTCCTATGTTAAAGGACCTATGGAAAGTTTCTAATAAAAACAAAGCTGCGTTATTGTAATGTTCTATTTATTAAGCAAGAGTAACTACAGTATATCAGATAAAAGTATATCATCTTATTTATGATATTCAATTGCATGGCCAAGTTTTATCTGATGAAGTTGCCATGCCGAAAGTGTACATATATTTGATGATGAACACCGGCGCATGTGCGTTCTGGTGATGAATGTCCACCAGTGCATGAATGAAAGCACTTTAAGGCCACAAGATGCGCATACCGACATATTTCGCCGAATATTTTAATAAATCTCGATGTTTATTTATAACTTATACATATAATTTTTTACACTTGGTAACTCATCGCATGAGCGCGCCAACGGATCAAAATAGTGTGCTTCAGTTAACCGTCGAATACACTGCTTCAAAAAACCAATTGGCAACTTTGTGCTTTCTTCGGATAAATTAAAAAATATTGTGAAATTATTTCTAGAATTTGATAACTTATTTTAGTGATAATGATAATTTTTTTATCATTTAAAAATATCATTTGTTTTAAATTGCAAAAATGAGTGATGTTGATCATGAAGTTGGTGCCATTCGCTTTACCGTTGTAAGTAGAGAAATTTTCTCTTAAGTTGATAACATACTTTTTAAAAATTATTTCATTTCGAATATTAATAAAATTTTATACGTTAAATATATAAAAAGTATACACTATGTTTTAATGATATAGTTTCTTTATCCTGATTATTATTCTATATACTTTGCCAAAATATAATTCTCATAGTATTTAATGTTTATTGAGAAATATTTATACTTGTTATACCTTATTGACTCTTTAACTTTTATTTATTGGATTCATCAAAACTACAAGTTATATCAAATGTTTAACGTATTTGCTTAATAAATCTTCCACAAATATTCCATATTGCAAATTGCATTTGCAAGTTGCATTTTCCCTAGTAAAGGAATTCACAATTAAAAAAAAGATCTATAATAACAGAGGGTTTGATTTTGGTAATGACTACTTGAAAACAATACTTTAAATGCACTTGATACAAAATATAATGATATAAATGTTTTTATTATATTCTTTATAGCATAATTGTTTTTGAAGTAAAACTTCTTTAGGCGCGACATGGGTGTAAAAACTTCTTTAGGCGCGACATGGGTGTA